CAGACCATAAACTCTGAGAGAGAGAGAGAGAGAGTGAGCGGAAACGATAGATTCTCACAGATATCTTCTGAAACCTATTCTTAAATTCTGAATGAGATCGAATTCCTCTGTAATCAGATTTAATAGAAATAAAACACCGTAGGACGTAAGTATATATATAGGAATAACATCATAGAGGAATCTTGAGAGCAAATTTGCATGATGTGGACGACCTCAGCGAGAATCTAAATATTGACTCAACTGTTCTCTCTGGAGGATATTGAAGAATCTTAGGGATAATTTCAGGGTCGATACTTTAACGTAGAGAAAGAAAGAGAGAGAGAGAGAGAGAGAGAGAGAGAGAGAGAGAGAGAGAGAGAGAGAGAGAGAGAGAGACAGAGACAGAGACAGAGACAGAGACAGACAGACAGACAGATAGACAGGCAGACAGACAGATACAGACAGACACAGACACAGACAGACAGACAGAGACTTTCTCTCACACTACCTGGAAGAGGATATCTACAGTACATATATATTTATTCAATTACAGTCGTTCATTACGACAGGAATCGATCTCGAAGGCTGTGACTTTGAAGGAGGTGAGGTTAGATTTACTGTGAAGGTTCCTGTGGCTGTGGGAAAGGATAGCTGGGTCACAGGCAATAGCCCCTAACATAGGGATGACACAGTAGTGCCTTCTGTGAAACCATCCTTTCAAAAGCCCCGTAGCTCAGCGGTAAAGCGCTGGGCCTGTCAATCTCGTGACCGTGGTTCAATCCCCATCTTCCTCCTTTCAAACAGTGTGAAAGCCTGACTTTTTCTCCTTCTCTATACATTAAGGCTCGACCCTGAGATTATTCAATAACCTTCAGAATAGTTAAATTAATGTTTGCTTTCTCGGTCGAGTCAACACATGAGAGAGTGTCTGTGTGTGCGTGTTGCTATATATCACAATATTAATAAATATATTCCTTCCATGGACATGTAGATGAGTACTTGGTGCCAATGTAAGCAAGCCTCCAGTGGCAGCGTTCCAGCCACTCGCGAGGCGCCGCTCAGCGTCCAGGAAAATCCCCCCGGAATTTCAGACTTTCTCCAGGATTTAGCAGCACATTTCTTGGTCCGGCGATAAGGCTTCCAATTCCCCCTTTGCGACGGTAGAATAAATGAGGCAATTACCGTAATGAAATACGCTTCAAGTTTGGGTTTATTTGATGTACGTAATGGTCGGCATTCTTATTTAACGACAGATGAGGTAGGTAAACTTTTCAGAAGACAATGTGTGTATTGGATTTGAGATTTCACTGAGAATGTGAATGATGGATCACTAGATGCCGTGAAAAATATTTAACTTCCACAGGTTGGTTAAAGTTTATAGAATACACGAGGGTCATTAAGACTGTCACCTGTACACCACCGGTCAAGAATTCCTTTAATCCTAAAACTATAGATTAAAATATACTCTTACATTATATATATACCTAGATATATACACAGCTGCTCTCAGTGTATGTATAATGAGGTATCCTCGGCAGCGTATATACACTGTTGTTCTTAGCATATATATACATCGAGAGATATACATTTTTCGGATAATATACAACTCCTGTTATCTTTCATAATGGTTAACTTGCATGTTAAGATATCAGTTGTTTCTTGTGGATATCTTCCAATATTAGCATATTATGGAGAATGTAATATCTGGTTCTTCTTCGTCGGCTCAGCAACAAGGTCAGTAATGATTCAGAATGTTTTCCTTAGTAATTCGTTAAGCAGTTGTGGCCCGGGAAGCTAAATAACCAGAGGTAGTGACCTGGGTCACATCAACAGTAGTGACCCAGGTCACAACAGTAGTGACTCGGGAGGTCACATCTTCAGACTAGTGACCCAGATCACTAGTCAAGAGGTCACATTTCGGGTCAAGATTAGCAACTCTGCTCATAACAACATCACGTTATATCGAGACTTTAATGATAAGCGTACCTAACTTCCTCTCAGAGGAAACAGATAACTTTCTGTCCTAAATATTATTTGATGCATCTCGGTTGTTTTTCGTGACATTATCTGGCCCCGAGTGCATTAAGAGGCTCCCTAATGACTCTAATTAAAGCCTTAATGGCTTTCATCACAGATATCTTTCTCTCTCAACTTCCTGCAAAAAACGGCAATGAGGTATGAGATATGAGTCGGATATTCCCGGCGGGATGCTGCAGTTATCCCGTGTGAGATAACCTCACTCCAGCCTCCAGCTACCTGAAGGAGACGCAGCAGCAGGTGTGAGGAGGAGGAGGAGGAGGAGGAGGAGGAAAAGGAGACAGGTCACCTGGTGGCGTTCCCGATACAACTCGGGACAAGAAGTTCGCCCAAACTTCCTGACGCAAAGAAGAAACTGTCCGCAGGAGGGAAGAGGTGTCTCTCAAACTATAGAATTCAGGAGGATTCTGCCCTCTCTCTCTCTCTCTCTCCTCCTTGAAGGAAGGGTGAGCATATTTCAGTCTGGAGGGTCATCTGAACGGTGCTGTCGGCAAATGAGTGATTATGAGAGTGTTTCTTTTCTTTTCGGGTCACCCTATCTCGGTGGAGCGACCCGAAAAAGTAACTGAGTTCTCCGATCAGGTACTCGGTGACATTTTTTTGACAGCTAAACAGAAAAGGAGGGGCAAGAGGTCTGCTCTGTTGGACACCTTGACGTGAGTCGATGTCGTGTTCACTAAAGAGACGTTTCGGTCCACTGTTGTCGCATGAGTAGATAGATGAATAAAGAAAACTATCATAAACAGCTCTGAAAAAAACAACATTCCTTTCAACTAAGTTAAAGGCATTAGCAAAGTCCACTCTGATCGGCATATTTCGGGCATGTGAAGTTAGTAATACATAGCGACATATTATATGGCTACTGCTGCTTCACAGACTTGTGGGATCACGAACCCCAATAATATACATACACAGCTTTAGGAATAGGTATGATGGAGCTCTGAAAGCCAAGAAAAAGTGAATCCGATAGTGGCTAGGGAGAGAGGTCAGACCCCAGAATTGAGACTTGATGTCATGATAGCTGCATCACGGCTCACTGTTCTCATGGCTGCCCTGTCAACAAGGCTAAGGAAGGAGTTAATAGCAACGATAGTCGTGACTCCTTCATTCATGTTTCATATGGAACAGGGTAAAGCTCTAGGCAGCTGTGAGAAAGAGCTTTCATTTGGTCAGTTTCATTAATTTCACCGACGAGTCGTTCCAGAAATGAACGATCACTGATGGAATGATATTCTTAAGAACGATAAAGCCCAGGCGAAATTGCTGGTGGTTGCATGTCTTGCGGCGAAGTAATTCTAGCAGTCCACGAAGTCGAGCCATGCGAAAGATCTTCAGAAAATTGGTCTTGCATCGTGTAGCGTAGGTGACTACGTGAATTGTCTCCGTACTGATAGTAACAGAAAGAGTAATGGCACCAAAACATGATTTAATACAAGTTTTATCCAGGAAGTTTATAATTACGTGTACAATGTCTAAAGATACTTATAGATGGTACAAAAAAAAAAACACACATTAATGGTATATTGTGTATGATTTAACCTAGATTGACTTAATAAAATCAGTGATATATTTTTATCTGGGCTGTCAGCCTCTTCAAATTGGTGCCCTTAAATAATACCTTAAAGTATTTTGGATGATACAACGATGTATATGTATAATACACGGAGTAAACTCAAGATACAGGTCCTGTGGCTAGTCATACACCTGAAGAAAGACTCTTGTTTTGGTGTATGAGAGTCACACACCTGAAGGAAGACTCTTGCTTTGGTGTATGAGAGTCACACACCTGAAGGAAGACTCTTGCTTTGGTGTATGAGAGTCACACACCTGAAGGAAGACTCTTGCTTTGGTGTATGAGAGTCACACACCTGAAGGAAGACTCTTGCTTTGGTGTATGAGAGTGACTCACCTGAAGGAAGACTCTTGCTTTGGTGTATGAGAGTCACACATCTGAAGGAAGACTCTTGCTTTGGTGTATGAGAGTCACACACCTGAAGGAAGACTCTTGCTTTGGTGTATGAGAGTCACACACCTGAAGGAAGACTCTTGCTTTGGTGTATGAGAGTCACACATCTGAAGGAAGACTCTTGCTTTGGTGTATGAGAGTCACACACCTGAAGGAAGACTCTTGCTTTGGTGTATGAGAGTCACACACCTGAAGGAAGACTCTTGCTTTGGTGTATGAGAGTCACACACCTGAAGGAAGACTCTTGCTTTGGTGTATGAGAGTCACACACCTGAAGGAAGACTCTTGCTTTGGTGTATGAGAGTCACACACCTGAAGGAAGACTCTTGCTTTGGTGTATGAGAGTCACACACCTGAAGGAAGACTCTTGCTTTGGTGTATGAGTCACACACCTGAAGGAAGACTCTTGCTTTGGTGTATGAGAGTCACACACCTGAAGGAAGACTCTTGCTTTGGTGTATGAGAGTCACACACCTGAAGGAAAGACTCTTGCTTTGGTGTATGAGAGTCACACACCTGAAGGAAGACTCTTGCTTTGGTGTATGAGAGTCACACACCTGAAGGAAGACTCTTGCTTTGGTGTATGAGAGTCACACACCTGAAGGAAGACTCTTGCTTTGGTGTATGAGTCACACACCTGAAGGAAGACTCTTGCTTTGGTGTATGAGTCACACACCTGAAGGAAGACTCTTGCTTTGGTGTATGAGAGTCACACACCTGAAGGAAGACTCTTGCTTTGGTATATAAGATTTTTACCCCGCCTCCAGACCCGTCAGTGTCCTGAGATGCTGACGACCCCAGAAAATACGAAAGGCTTTCTAACGTCTCATTACCCCCACCTCGAGACCTGTCAGCGGCTGTCGTGGCCGCTATGGGACGCTAACAGCGTTAGTACCAACGTCAAGGATCACTAACGTCTCATTACCTCCACCTCGAGACTTGTCAGCGGCCGTCGTGGCCGCTAACAGCGTTAGTACCAACGTCAGGACCACTAACAACTCATTACCTCCACCTCCAGACTTGTCAGTGGCCGTGGTGGCTGCCTGGGACGCTGACGACATCACTGAAGGAACCAACGCCAGGATAACTTACTCCATCGCCAAAAACGTGGTGTACGAGCCCACGGGAGAGGCCATCTTCTCCGTGGACCCAGACACTGGTCTCATCCGCACTGCCATCTGTTGTCTAGACCGAGAGACCACACCAGAGTACGAGATCCAGGTTGTGGCGGTGGATGGTGGTGGCCTCAAGGGTGAGTGTTGTGGCCTCCAGGGTTAGTGTTATGGCCTCTAGTGTGAGTGTTGTGGCCTCAAGAGGGAGTGTTGTGGCCTCAGGAGGGAGTGTTGTGGCCTCAGGAGGGAGTGTTGTGGCCTCAAGAGGGAGTGTTGTGGCATTAAGAGTGTATTCTACTGTGTTGTGTTGTGCAATCACATAGTTGTAGCTACATAGTTGCAGTTATCATAAAGTTTGTATCTGCTGTGCTGTGTGTATATATGTGTGTGTGTACTCACCTATTTGTGGTTGCAGGGGTCGAGTCACAGTTCCTGGCCCCCCCTCTTCGCTGATTGCTACTAGGTCCTCTCTCTCCCTGCTCCATGAGCTTTATCATACCTCGCCTTAAAACTATGTATGGTTCCCGCCTCCACTACTTCACTTTCTAGGCTATTCCACGGCCTGACTACTCTATGACTGAAGAAATACTTCCTAACATCCCTTTGATTCATCTGAGTCTTCAACTTCCAATTGTGACCTCTTGTGTCTGTGTCCCATCTCTGGAACATCCCGTCTTTGTCCACCTTGTCTATTCAGCGCAGTATTTTATATGTCGTTATCATGTCTCCCCTGACCCTCCTGTCCTCCAGTGTCGTCAGGCCGATTTCCCTCAACCTTTCTTCGTAGGACAATCCCCGTAGCTCTGGGACTAGTCTTGTTGCAAACCTTTGCACTTTCTCTAGTTTCTTGACGTGCTTGACTAGTTGTGGATTCCAAACTGGAGCTGCATACTCCAGTATGGGCCTGACGTAAATGGTATACAGAGTCTTAAACGAATCCTTACTGAGGTATCGGAACGCTATCCGTAGGTTTGCCAGGCGCCCGTATGCTGCAGCAGTTATCTGATTGATGTGCGCCTCAGGAGATATGCTCGGTGTTAAACTCACCCCCAGATCTTTTTCCTTGAGTGAGGTTTGCAGTCTTTGGCCATCTAAACTATATTGTGCCTGCGGTCTTCTTTGCCCTTCCCCAATCTTCATGACTTTGCATTTGGCAGGGTTAAATTCAAGGAGCCAGTTGCTGGACCAGGCTTGTAGCCTGTCCAGGTCTCTTTGTAGTCCTGCCTGATCCTCATCCGATTTGATTCTTCTCATTAACTTCGCATCATCTGCAAACAAGGACACTTCTGAGTCTATCCCTTCCGTTATGTCGTTCACATATACCAAGAACAGCACAGGTCCTAGGACTGACCCGTGTGGAACCCCACTTGTCACAGGCGCCCACTCTGACAGCTCGTCGCGTACCATGACTCGTTGTTGCCTCCCTGTCAGGTATTCTCTGATCCATTGCAATGCCTTTCCTGTTATGTGTGCCTGATCCTTTAGCTTTTGCAATAACCTCTTGTGAGGAACTGTGTCGAAGGCCTTCTTGCAGTCCAAAAATATGCAGTCGATCCACCCCTCTCTCTCTTGTCTTACTTCTGTCACCTTGTCATAAAACTCTAGTAGGTTTGTGACACAGGATTTTCCTTCCCTGAAACCGTGCTGGTTGTCAATTATACACTTGTTTCTTTCCAGGTGCTCCACCACTCTCCTCCTGATGATCTTCTCCATGACCTTGCATGCTATACACGTTAGTGATACAGGTCTGTAGTTTAGTGCCTCATGTCTGTTCCCTTTTTAAAAATTGGGACTACATTTGCCATTTTCCATACCTCAGAGTTGCCCATTTTCAAATGATGTGTTGAAGATCTTTGTTAATGGCTCACACAATATCTCCGCTCCCTCTTTAAGGACCCATGGAGAGATGTTGTCTGGTCCCACCGCCTTTGAGGTGTCAAGTTCGCCATAGCAGTTTTTTTCACCTCCCCCTTTGGGTTTATATGTACCTCATCCAGCACTTGCGGGTGTGCCCCCCTGTTCTGATTTCCTGGAGTCCTACTGGTTTCCACTGTAAATACCTCTTTAAATCTTGTGTCGAGCTCCCTGACATACCTCCCGGTCGTTTCATGTGAATTCCCCATCACCCTTCCTCAGTCTGATTACCTGGTCCTTGACTGTGTTTTCTCCTGATGTGGCTGTACAACAGCTTCGGGTCAGTCTTTACTTTTGATGCTATGTCATTTTCATATTTGTCTCTGAGCCTCCCTTCTTATCGTGCATATTCGTTTCTGGCTCTCGGCTAATTTCTTTTTTTTCCTGAGTTCTCTGTTTTTCTGTACCTTTTCCATTCTCTAGTAAAACCTAGTTTTTGCCTCCCTCACCTTTGGGGAACCAAGGACTCGTTTCTGTTCTTCCCATTATTTCTGTTTCCCCTTGGGACAAATCTCCCCTCTGCCTCCTTGCATTTGTTGCCACATAGTCCATATTTCTTGTACTGGTTTTCCTGTCAGTTCCCTCCCCCACTGAACGTCTTACGGGAAAAGTTCCTCATGCCTGAGTAGTTCCCCCTTTTGTGGGATTGTTTTTTCCCATCCTATTCCTGCTACTCATCCACTTCAAGCTCAATTATGTAGTCAAAGCACAAAACCACATGTTCACTAGCTCCCAGGGGCCTTTCATACACGATATCCTCGATGTCCGAACTACTCAAGGTGAATACAAGGTCCAGTCTTGCTGGTTCATCCTCACCTCTCTCTCTGTAGTGTCTCTAACATGTTGATGCATGAGTTTTCCAGTACCACATCTCATCTTGGCTCTCCATGTTTCGGGACCCCCATGGGGATCCAGGTTTTCCCAGTCAATCCCCTTGGATTAAAATCCCCCATAACTAGTAAACTTTGCTCCCCCATGTGTGCTCTCCTGGCCACCTCGGCTAGTGTGTCGATCATTGCTCTTTTTGCTCTCATCGTATTCTTCTCTTGGCCTCCTGCAGTTCTGTGGTGGGTTGTTTCATTACTGCAATTATCACCTTATGTCCCTCAGAAATAGATTGTTCCTACTAAGTAGTCCCTTTCGCCCGTGCCATCCATTCCTTCCATTTTCTCAAAACCCCACTGGTTTTTAATGAAACAGTGCAACTCCTTTCCCCCTCTCCTCCCTCTGTCTTTCCTGAGGATTTGATATCCGGATGGAAAGATTGAATCTGTTATTATTCTGGTGAGTTTTGTTTCTGTGAGTGTATTATGTCTGGGGATGTCTCCTTGGGTTCTTTCATGCCACTCCTCATACTAGTTTGTTATTCCATCTGCATTTGTATACCCCCACCTTCAACTTCTTTTCTAAGACTGTGGTCTGGGAGGTATATTGGGGTTGGGGAAGTGGGAGACATGGTAAGGAGCTATGGGTTGTTGCTGTGGGGGTGGAGTTTGTAATGTAGTGGGTGGTGGCATTGGATGTGGCAGGGTGTTTTGATTTAGAGTGTTTGGTTGCACTGGAGTTGACCTGGTTGGGGGGCTTCTATAGGAAATTGTGAGGGAGGCTGTATTTGAATTTTCTTCATGGGTCTGGGATTCCTGTCTGTCTTCTCCATCCCTCTCTTTCCTCCTTTCGCCTTTGTACCATCTCTCTCAGTTTCTGCCTTTCTTCTTGTGTTCTGTCGCGATCGAGATACACCTTCCTGTATGCCGGCATGTCCCTTAATCGTGCTTTCTCCTGCAGGATCCTGTTCCGAGTCGCTTCTGCCTTGAAGGTCACTTTCACTGGCCGGGTTCTTTTTTTACAAACCCCTCTATTCTTCGAAAATTCCCCGCTGGGTCATGTCGTCTTCTCCTATTTCTTTCATGATGCTTTCAATTGGGTTTTTTTCCCTTGTTTTCTTGCTTCATATGTTTCCCCTTCAACTTCCTGGAGCCCATACACAAAGACTGACCTCACCCTTTCATTCTCCCACTGCATATCCGTGTATCCCCTCATTTAATTTGATTTCCTCCACTGCAGCTTTCCTTTCTTCAGTTTCACTAGCTAATGCACTTGGGCTCAGTGGTCTGTCATTTTCCCTTCTCGGCTTTCCTTGGGTTCTGTTGTTGTCTGTTGGGGCCTCCATATAAAGCTTAACTCTTTCATTTACTACATTCTCCTCTGACAGAGCTTCTCCATGCAGTTGTGCTCCTTCTTTCCCTACTGTCCCCTTATTTGTGGCTGAGGTAGCAGTCTCTGTTGTCAATCCCAAAATGTTCTTTAGTTCTTTAGGCTGTTTCAGATTTTTCAGTTCCTCTTCTAAACTCTGTATCCTAGCCTCTGCTGCTTTGACATGCACCTCCCACTTCCTGCTTTCCATATCTATCCTCTCTTCCATTCTCATGCTAAGTTCTTCTAGTTTCTTTTCCCATTCATGATCCCTTTTTATGAGCTCTGCTGCCCCAATCTTCCTTTGCAGCTTCCCTCCTGTCCCTTGGTTTTTCTTGTTGCTCTCTGGCAAAACCCCTTTTTGTTTTATCCTGATTGCCTCAGAGTGGGAAACCTATGTAGTTCTGCATGTTAGGTTAGCAGTGTGTATGTCAGAGTGTGGGGGGGGGGGAGTAGTGGAGGAACTGTGGCTTTGTGGAGAGGAATGGGAGGGGTGGGGAGGGGGAGGGTGAACGGGGGAGGGGGGGGTGAACGAGGGGGGGGGAGGGATCAGGGGAAGTAGTGAGATGTCGGTGGTGAGGGGGGGAGTGTATGTGTGTGTGTGTGTAATTTTGTGTGGAATTATGTGTGGGTTTATTATGTACTGAAAGGTAGGTGGCTTGTGCGTTGTAATGTAGAGTCTCAGTGGTCCTTGGCTGCCCACAACTTCTTGTGACCTGACCCCCAACCTCCTGGGACTTGACCGGCACGTACTTACAGTGTGTGTGTGTGTGTGTGTGTGTGTGTGTGTGTGTGTGTGTGTGTGTGTGTACTCACCTAGTTGTACTCACCTAGTTGAGGTTGCGGGGGTCGAGTCCGAGCTCCTGGCCCCGCTTCTTCACTGATCGCTACTAGGTCACTCTCCCTGAGCCGTGAGCTTTATCATACCTCTGCTTAAAGCTATGTATGGATCCTGCCTCCACTACATCGCTTCCCAAACTATTCCACTTACTGACTACTCTGTGGCTGAAGAAATACTTCCTAACATCCCTGTGATTCATCTGTGTCTTCAGCTTCCAACTGTGTCCTCTTGTTACTGTGTCCAATCTCTGGAACATCCTGTCTTTGTCCACCTTGTCAATTCCTCTCAGTATTTTGTATGTCGTTATCATGTCCCCCCTATCTCTCCTGTCCTCCAGTGTCGTCAGGTTGATTTCCTTAACCTCTCCTCGTAGGACATACCTCTTAGCTCTGGGACTAGTCTTGTTGCAAACCTTTGTGTGTGTGTGTGTGTATGTGTGTGTGTGTTATGTATGTGTGTGTGTGTGTGTGTGTGTGTGTGTGTGTGTGTGTGTGTGGTGTTGGTGTGTGTGTTTGTGTAGTGTGTGTGTGTTGTGTGTGGTTGGTGTGTGTGTGGTGTGTGTGTGTGTTGTGTGTGTGTGTGTGTGTTGTGTATGTGTGTGTGGTTTAGAAAGACACGTAAGCAAACACTATAACATATTTATTAGAAAAATGTTTCGGTCCTGGGACGTTGATCAAGGTCCCAGGACCGAAACGTTTTCTAATAAATATGTTATAGTGTTTGCTTACGTGTCTTTCTAAACCAACTTGTCGGTATTTATTACCAAGGTTTATACCATGTGTGTGTGTATATTGTGGTGGTGTGTGGTGTGTGTGTGTGTGTGGTGTGTGTGTGTGTGTGTGTGTGTGTTGTGTGTGTGTGTGTTTGTATTCGCCTAGTTAGTTACCATTTTGTCCTAGTACAGGTGTGTGTGTGTGTGTATGTGTGTATACATGTGCGTTCGTGTGTATGGGGGAGGTATGAGGGGGAGATACTGTTAATACATACCAGTAATTCTGGGTTATAAAAAGCGGAAATTGCTACTAGGGTCTAAAGCTTCTATGAGTGTCTGCCCTTGTGTGTGTGTGTGTGTGTGTGTGTGTGTGTGGTGTGAGGGAGGGATGGTTAGGGGGGTGTGAGTGTGGTGTGGGGTGTGTGTGTAATTATGTGTCGAATTATGTGTGGGTTTATTATGTGTCTGAAAAGTAGGTGGCTTGTGCTTGGAGTGTAATGTGGATTCTCAGTGGTCGCTTGTGTCCACAACCTCTTGTGACCTGACCCCCACCCTCCTGGGACTTGACGCTCACCTACTTACAATGTTGCCAATGCTTGACCTTCCACCTAGCTTACAGTAAGTTACTCGCCTTGTTCACGGATTACCAGTTGCTATTCCTTATTGAATACTTGAGTGCCTATTCTTTATCGTGCTATGAGAGTTAGACCATTCACATTCAGCTTGGCGGTTAATTGGAACCTGGAACCCCATACCCAAACAACCACTCATAGGTGGATACAGTACTTGCAGTGCAGCTGTAGCAGCCTATAGATTGTCCAGCTCGATGTGACGTCCTGGCGTAGATCCACCTCAATTTCTTCTCTTTAATAATGTACCCTATTCACTGTATTTCTCTCACTGGTCACACGATTGTATCACTTTATTATCTTTCTTGGGTGACACTTGACAACGTCGCCTTACCACCCACACTAACCTGCCCAGTCTGCACCACCAAGTTTTTATTTTCTAGATCACTTACAAAATTGTGGCTCTCCCCACGCTTATGTGGCTCAGGCAGATTAAAAAACACTTCTAGGACTGTTCACTACCCTGACACGCTTTGCAACCCTTGCAGAACACTTGGGCAGCCCTCAAAAACACTTATATTCCCGGAGCACGGAAGGCGTGACTCGCGCGTGTGTGTGTGTGTGTGTGTGTGTGTGTGTACACTCACCTGTGTTCTACTGTGTGTGGTGACCTACAGGTACTGGTGTGGTGGTGATCCGTCTGGTGGACGTGAATGACAATTCTCCCAGACTGGAACGTTCACTGTGGGAGGTGGAGACGGAGGAGACCTGGGGCTCTGAACCTCCACACAACTCCACCATCCTCCACATCTCTGTCATCGACACCGACACGTCAAACTACTTCTTCTACAGGGTGAGGCACTCTTGGGTGAGGCACTCTTGAGTGAGGCACTCTTGGGTGAGGCCCTCTTGGGTGAGGCACTGCTGGATGAGGCACTGTTGAGTGAATCACTTCTGCTGGCAGGGGTAACAGATAATGTGGATCTAGGTAGGTGAAGAAATTACAGGTTTATGGCTGGTCAGTTGAGTTCACAGAGCAGAAACTGACCAGAATTGTAATGATTTTTTTTATATATTTATATAAATTTCTGCAGAAGCTGAAGTTGAGGCCAGTGGGTGGGGCTGGATCTCTCCTGCAGGTGATGTTGTGGTCACCTGACGGTGTTAACATGGTATCTCTGCAGGTGGTGGAGGCCAGTGGGTGGGGGCTGCGTCTCTCCTGCAGGTGATGTTGTGGTCACCTGAAGGTGCTAACATGGTGTCTCTGCAGGTGGTGGAGGCCAGTGGATGGGGCTGGATCTCTCCTGCAGGTGATGTTGTGGTCACCTGACGGTGCTAATATGGTGTCTCTGCAGGTGGTGGAGGCCAGTGGGTGGGGCTGGATCTCTCCTGCAGGTGATGTTGTGGTCACCTGACGGTGCTAACATGGTGTCTCTGCAGGTGGTGGAGGACAGTGGGTGGGGATGGATCTCTCCTGCAGGTGATGTTGTGGTCACCTGACGGTGCTAACATGGTGTCTCTGCAGGAGGTGGAGGCCAGTGGGTGGGGCTGGGTCTCTCCTGCAGGTGATGTTGTGGTCACCTGACGGTGCTAACATGGTGTCTCTGCAGGTGGTGGAGGCCAGTGGATGGGGCTGGATCTCTCCTGCAGGTGATGTTGTGGTCACCTGACGGTGCTAACATGGTATCTCTGCAGGTGGTGGAGGCCAGTGGATGGGGCTGGATCTCTCCTGCAGGTGATGTTGTGGTCACCTGACGGTGCTAACACGGTGTCTCTGCAGGTGGTGGAGGCCAGTGGGTGGGGCTGGATCTCTCCTGCAGGTGATGTTGTGGTCAACTGACGGTGCTAACATGGTATCTCTGCAGGTGGTGGAGGCCAGTGGATGGGGCTGGATCTCTCCTGCAGGTGATGTTGTGGGTTTACCTGACGGTGCTAACATGGGGTCTCTGCAGGTGGTGGAGGCCAGTGGGTGGGGATGGATCTCTCCTGCAGGTGATGTTGTTTGGGCACCTGACGGTGCTAACATGGTGTGTCTGCAGGTGGTGGAGGCCAGTGGATGGGGCTGGATCTCTCCTGCAGGTGATGTTGTGGTCACCTGACGGTGCTAACATGGTGTGTCTGCAGGTGGTGGAGGCCAGTGGATGGGGGCTGGGTCTCTCCTGCAGGTGATGTTGTGGTCACCTGACGGTGCTAACATGGTGTCTCTGCAGGTGGTGGAGGCCAGTGGGTGGGGCTGGATCTCTCCTGCAGGTGATGTTGTGGTCAACTGACGGTGCTAACATGGTATCTCTGCAGGTGGTGGAGGCCAGTGGGTGGGGATGGATCTCTCCTGCAGGTGATGTTGTGGTCACCTGACGGTGCTAACATGGTGTGTCTGCAGGTGGTGGAGGCCAGTGGATGGGGCTGGATCTCTCCTGCAGGTGATGTTGTGGTCACGTGAAGGTGCTAACATGGTGTGTCTGCAGGTGGTGGAGGCCAGTGGTGGGGCTGGGTCTCTCCTGCAGGTGATGTTGTGGTCACGTGAAGGTGCTAACATGGTGTGTCTGCAGGTGGTGGAGGCCAGTGGGTGGGGCTGGGTCTCTCCTGCAGGTGATGTTGTGGTCACGTGACGGTGCTAACATGGTGTGTCTGCAGGTGGTGGAGGCCAGTGGGTGGGGCTGGGTCTCTCCTGCAGGTGATGTTGTGGTCACGTGAAAGTGCTAACATGGTGTGTCTGCAGGTGGTGGAGGCCAGTGGATGGGGGCTGGGTCTCTCCTGCAGGTGATGTTGTGGTCACGTGAAGGTGCTAACATGGTGTGTCTGCAGGTGGTGGAGGCCAGTGGATGGGGCTGGGTCTCTCCTGCAGGTGATGTTGTGGTCACCTGACGGTGCTAACATGGTGTGTCTGCAGGTGGTGGAGGCCAGTGGATGGGGCTGGGTCTCTCCTGCAGGTGATGTTGTGGTCACCTGACGGTGCTAACATGGTGTCTCTGCAGGTGGTGGAGGCCAGTGGATGGGGCTGGATCTCTCCTGCAGGTGATGTTGTGTTCACCTGACGGTGCTAACATGGTGTCTCTGCAGGTGGTGGAGGCCAGTGGGTGGGGCTGGATCTCTCCTGCAGGTGATGTTGTGGTTCACCTGACGGTGCTAACATGGTGTTCTGCAGGTGGTGGAGGCCAGTGGATGGGGCTGGATCTCTCCTGCAGGTGATGTTGTGTTCACCTGACGGTGCTAACATGGTGTGTCTGCAGGTGGTGGAGGCCAGTGGATGGGGCTGGATCTCTCCTGCAGGTGATGTTGTGGTCACGTGAAGGTGCTAACATGGTGTGTCTGCAGGTGGTGGAGGCCAGTGGGTGGGGCTGGGTCTCTCCTGCAGGTGATGTTGTGGTCACGTGAAGGTGCTAACATGGTGTGTCTGCAGGTGGTGGAGGCCAGTGGGTGGGGCTGGATCTCTCCTGCAGGTGATGTTGTGGTCACGTGAAGGTGCTAACATGGTGTGTCTGCAGGTGGTGGAGGCCAGTGGATGGGCTGGGTCTCTCCTGCAGGTGATGTTGTGGTCACGTGAGGTGCTAACATGGGTGTCCTGCAGGTGGTGGAGGCCAGTGGATGGGGCTGGATCTCTCCTGCAGGTGATGTTGTGGTCACGTGAAGGTGCTAACATGGTGTGTCTGCAGGTGGTGGAGGCCAGTGGATGGGGCTGGGTCTCTCCTGCAGGTGATGTTGTGGTCACGTGAAGGTGCTAACATGGTGTGTCTGCAAGTGGTGGAGGCCAGTGGATGGGGCTGGATCTCTCCTGCAGGTGATGTTGTGGTCACGTGAAGGTGCTAACATGGTGTGTCTGCAGGTGGTGGAGGCCAGTGGATGGGGCTGGATCTCTCCTGCAGGTGATGTTGTGGTCACCTGACGGTGCTAACATGGTGTGTCTGCAGGTGGTGGAGGCCAGTGGGTGGGGCTGGATCTCTCCTGCAGGTGATGTTGTGGTCACCTGACGGTGCTAACATGGTGTCTCTGCAGGTGGTGGAGGCCAGTGGGTGGGGCTGGATCTCTCCTGCAGGTGATGTTGTGGTCACGTGAAGGTGCTAACATGGTGTGTCTGCAGGTGGTGGAGGCCAGTGGATGGGGCTGGATCTCTCCTGCAGGTGATGTTGTGGTCACGTGAAGGTGCTAACATGGTGTCTCCCGCAGGTGGGGGAGGCCAGTGGTGGGGCTGGATCTCTCCTGCAGGTGATGTTGTGTCACGTGAAGGTGCTAACATGGTGTGTCTGCAGTGGTGGAGGCCAGTGGATGGGCTGGGGTCTCTTTCCTGCAGGTGATGTGTGGTCACCTGACGGTGCAACATGGTGTCTCTGCAGTGGTGGAGGCCATGGGTGGGCGGATCTCTCCTGCAGGTGAGTTAGGTCACGTGAAGGTGCTAACATGGTGTGTCTGCAGGTGTGGAGGCCAGTGGTGGGCTGGGTCTCTCCTGCAAAGGGGATTGTGGCACGTGAAGTGCTAACATGGTGGTGTCTGCAGGTGGTGAGGCCAGTGGGTGGGGCTGGGTCTCCTCAGGTGATGTTGTGTTCACCTGACGGTGCACATGGTGGTCTGCAGGTGGTGGAGCCATGGATGGGCTGGGAACTTCAGATCAAGGTGGGATCAGAGGACACAATCTTCGCCACTAGACTCTGGACTATAAGATGAAACTCACCGTCGAGGCTTCAAGTTCATGGTGCAAGTGACTGACAAGGTGAGTCCAGGCTTCAAGTTCATGGTGCAGGTGACTGACAAGGTGAGTCCAGGCTTCAAGTTCATGGTGCAGGTGACTGACAAGGTGAGTCCAGGCTTCAAGTTCATGGTGCAAGGGGACTGACAAGGTGAGTCCAGGCTTCAAGTTCATGGTGCAGGTGACTGACAAGGTGAGTCCAGGCTTCAAGTTCATGGTGCAGTGACTGACAAGGTGAGTCCAGGCTTCAAGTTCATGGTGCAGGTGACTGACAAGGTGAGTCCAGGCTTCAAGTTCATGGTGCAGGTGACTGACAAGGTGAGTCCAGGCTTCAAGTTCATGGTGCAAGTGACTGACAAGGTGAGTCCAGGCTTCAAGTTCATGGTGCAAGTGACTGACAAGGTGAGTCCAGGCTTCAAGTTCATGGTGCAAGTGACTGACAAGGTGAGTCCAGGCTTCAAGTTCATGGTGCAGGTGACTGACAAGGTGAGTCCAGGCTTCAAGTTCATGGTGCAAGTGACTGACAAGGTGAGTCCAGGCTTCAAGTTCATGGTGCAAGTGACTGACAAGGTGAGTCCAGGCTTTAAGTTCATGGTGCAGGTGACTGACAAGGTGAGTCCAGGCTTCAAGTCATGGTGCAGGTGACTGACAAGGTGAGTCCAGGCTTCAAGTTTTATGGTGCAAGTGACTGACAAGGTGAGTCCAGGCTTCAAGTTCATGGTGCAAGTGACTGACAAGGTGAGTCCAGGCTTCAAGTTCATGGTGCAGGTGACTGACAAGGTGAGTCCAGGCTTTAAGTTCATGGTGCAGGTGACTGACAAGGTGAGTCCAGGCTTCAAGTTCATGGTGCAGGTGACTGACAAGGTGAGTCCAGGCTTTCAAGTTCATGGTGCAAGTGACTGACAAGGTGAGTCCAGGCTTCAAGTTCATGGTGCAAGTGACTGACAAGGTGAAATCAGGCTCAAGTTCATGTCAAGTACTGACAAGGTGAGTCCAGCTTCCAGTTCATGTGCAAGTGACTGACAAGGTGAGTCCAGCTTCAAGTTCATGGTGCAAGTGACTGACAAGGGTCCAGCTTCAGTTCATGTTTCAGGTGACTGACAAGGTGATCCACCCGGCTTCAAGTTCATGGTGCAAGTGACTGACAAGGTGAGTCCAGCTTCAAGTTCATGTGAGGTGACTGACACGGTGAGTCCCCAGGCTTCAAGTTCATGGTGCAAGTGACTGACAAGGTGAGTCCAGGCTTCAAGTTCATGGTGCAAGTGACGACAGGTGATCCAGGCTCAAGTTCATGGTGAGTGACTGACAAGGTGAGTCCCAGCTCAGGTTATGGTGCAAGTGACTGACAAGGTGAGTCCAGGCTTCAAGTTCATGGGCAGGTGACGACAAGGGAGTCCAGGCTCAAGTTCATGTGCAGGACTGACCAAGGTGAGTCCAGCTTCACGTTCAAAGGGGAAGTGACTGACAAGCGAGTCCAGGCTTCAGTTCATGGTGCAAGTGACTGACAGGTGAGTCCAGGCTCAAGTTCATGGTGCAGGTACTGCCAAGTGAGTCCCATGCTTCAAATTTATGGTGCAGGTGACTGACAAGGTGATCCAGGGTCAAGTTCAGTGCAGTGACTGACAAGGTGAGTCCAGGCTTCAAGTTCATGGTGCAGGTGACTGACAAGGTGAGTCCAGGCTTCAAGTTCATGGTGCAGGTGACTGACAAGGTGAGTCCAGTCTTCAAGTTCATGGTGCAAGTGACTGTACCATAAACTACCATGATAGTACTACAATAACGTAACTACCACAATAGTACTACAATAATGTAACTACCATCCAGATACTACTATAAACTAACAAGGTCAAACTTGTTAGTTAATCTGACTGGACTAGTGCTCCACCAGTGGTGCTTTACCTCTGGTGCTCCACAAGTGGTTTTCTTCTATTGGTACTCAACCTGTGAGGTTTCCCCGCTGAGGCTCCATCTCTTATGGTGCCTTATTGGTGCACCACCACTGGAGCCTCACTACTGGTGCTCCACCACTGAAGCCTCACTATTGGTGCTCCACCACTGGAGCCTCACTACTGGTGCTCCACCACTGGTCACTGTCTATCCCCCAGGGACGCGGGGGGTGGAGGGACGCACGTCACATGGACGCAGCCTGGGTCACCGTCCGTCTGAAGGACGTCAACGACAACCCGCCCCAGTTCCACCGTCCTCACGCCCACGTTACTGTGAGGGAGGACGCCCACCCTGGCACCCTCCTGGCTGCCCTCCCCGCCCACGACCCTGATATGGTGAGTACACCCACAGCAACACGCCCACGACCCTGATATGGTGAGTACACCCACAGCAACACGCCCACGACTGCTTTAACTTCACACGCACATCCTTGACCCACCGAACTGATATCTGTTATTGCCTAGACAGTTACTGGAGGGAGGGAAACAAGATACAAGAAGTGTAATTCCAGCAGCGAGTCAGCGTCCTAACAACAAGTGCTGTGATCCAGAAAGTTCAATTACCGCCTAACGTTTCCAGCCTCGCACATTTGACCAAGGCAGCAGGTGTTTTAAACACGTCTCCTCTCACGTAACATCTGAACTTTTTATGAACACCGAGAGGCGTGTATCTATCAGTGTATATACATCGAGAGGTGTGTATCTATCAGTGTATATACACCGTGAGGTGTGTATTTCTCAGTATATATACACTGAGATATGTCACGATGCCAAAACGACCACATTCCTCTAGCTTCCTAACCAGCTTGTTTCACGCATGTAAATGTTATACATGGAGGTACAGTGAAAGGATGGATACACAATGATACCGTAGAAGTGAGACACAGCGTGAACAAAGAATCACAAATAATAACGAAAGAGAAGCACAGTGTAGTATGGTTGGCACAGTGAATATACAAACAGAATTGCAATGTGTCTATAACACATTTCAGGCTGCTGAAAAAATGGTTGCAACAAAAACTTTGGCTTCAAAGAGGAGAAAAAGTATAAGAATGTCGTAGGTTCAATGAGCAGTACGCTAATTATTTTTTTTTTTTTTGTTTTAGTTTTTGCTCTTTGCAACGACAAAGTCAGTGTCCTGATATGCAACGAACGTGTGTCTATTTTTAAGTACAGTGTCAAAAGCCACTACGAATCAGTCACAAGAACCACTCATCGTTCCAGGGAAAAGTAAGAACTAACAAGATCACTTCAGTTTATTGATCTACGAACTCAATTATAATTGTAATGAACGACCGTCGATGAATGAACTAAAGATGGGCTGGAAGCTGGGGGCCACATTTCGAGCCTCCCGTCCACCTTCCTATAGATCTATGTCTCAACAGCAAAATATTTTTAAGAGGCACAGTAGTGAAACTGTTACTCAGGAGTGAGCCATCACGAAGCTGACGGAGAGTCTGCGAAGTGCACGGGAAAGGTAGTGGAAGAAATGTGGCTGGACGCGGTTTCTCGAACAAGAAATGTTAGGGTATCTGCACCGAGAATCACCAGGAATGTTGATGACATGGGAGGAAGAGATGTGTAATATCTTGAATAACTAAAATATGCATTTTAAAACATTTTTTAAGAAGACAGTGGCTTCAGTCCAATGCAGAGAAAGATGGAAGACGAGGAGGAATTTGAAGTAATCAGCCCCTTATGCTGTAGTCGATGTGTTTGGTCCATCAGTCTTGACAGGATTGATTAACTCTAAGCTGAGGGACTGATTACTTCAAACTCCTCGTCTTCTACCTTTCTCTGTATAGGACTGAAGAAGCCACATGATCCTAAAATGATCTGCTTTTGCATTTTTAAGTATATATTCTGAATCAATATAGCAAATAGTACCCCAGGTGTAATTTTAAGTAATTTTGAAAATTAGGCCGAAAATAGCCAAAAACGTTGAACATTCAGGGATTTTATGGGGGCGAAAAAAACTTTTTCTCTCAAAATGGAAAATGGTCATGATGACATTGTTTGTTGGATTAATTGCTCCCCAAAAACATGAAAAAATCCTGTATATACAGCTTTCATTGAAGGTTATGAGAGTTTTTATAAGATAAATTATACAATATAGGGCGCCCCTAACAGAGAAGAATCAGACAAGAGAAAACAGCCTTTTATCATGCTAAAATCGTCACTTTTTATATTTTTAAGTGTATATTCATAAGTAGCATTAAAAATAATTATAATGCAGTGTTTTTTTTTGGGTAATGCTTAGTTATTTTTCATAATTTATGGTTATTTTTCTTAATCAGTTATTTCTCGTAATTTTTAGTCATTTCTCGTCATTTTTGATAACTTTCAGTTATTTTTCGTAATTTTTAGTTATTTTTCATGATTTTTAGTTATTTTCCGTAATGAATAGTGTTAATGGAAATATTACCTTCCTATTCTAGGTATTACCGGGAAAGCTTTTCAACTTGTAATATTTATATGGGTCATAGACTCTAATTTAGAAAATACGGAGATGTGTCAAGCGAGAGTCCGAAATTACTGCTAAAGATTAATTAGTAATGGAGAGTATATCCGTGAGTAAAGTTAACCTGAGAGTAACAGCACTGAGAGTAACAGCACTGAGAGTAACAACACTGAGAGTAACAACACTGAGAGTAACAACACTGAGAGTAACAACACTGAGAGTAACAACACTGAGAGTAACAGCACTGAGAGTAACAACACTGAGAGTAACAACACTGAGAGTAACAACACTGAGAGTAACAACACTGAGAGTAACAACACTGAGAGTAACAACACTGAGAGTAACAACACTGAGAGTAACAACACTGAGAGTAACAACACTGAGAGTAACAACACTGAGTAACAACACTGAGAGTAACAACACCGAGAGTAACAACACCGAGAGTAACAACACTGAGAGTAACAACACTGAGAGTAACAACACTGAGAGTAACAACACTGAGAGTAACAACACTGAGAGTAACAACACTGAGAGTAACAACACTGAGAGTAACAACACTGAGAGTAACAACAACACTTCGTGTATGTGTATGTTCATTTAATTCAGAAATATTTGCGTTGAAGGGCGACACTCTTGCTCAGTTCCCACCACTACATTTTCCTCCCTGGTAATTAACGCTGATTTAAATTACAAACAAACTGAGAAGTGTGACAGTCGATGTTGGAGGGAACATGACTGGGAGTTAAACTTGTCTTGATGCAAGAAATAACAGAATCTATTTCAAAACTGAACACTGAACTCATGAAATTTTCACTACATGATTCGCCATCAGGCTTTGTGTAGTATGATTCGGCAGTTCGAAAACGTGATGAGTGTTATTGTGTCAGGCATAAATTTTACTAAGTATAATGACCTGAAACATCGACAATTTCAAAGTTTCTGGTCTGTCATAAAGGGAGACTCTGGGGATGTGTTGAACCTTGCAGAGGTCAGGTAGTTGAGCGGAGGTTAGGGTTCTTAAACGATTTTTTATCCCCGTTGCGTCATGTAAGTGACATCTCACTGGGAAAGGAGATCAAGAAACATTTTCTGACCCTGAATGGGTTTAGGACCTAACTTTCATGAGTGACGAAGGAGAACACTTGCATACTTTGAATCTAAGTTAGCTGAGTGAAGGAAAACTGGTGACTGATATGAATGCTGAGGTGAGAACTTTCAAGCGAAGGATAAATGCTTGAGAAGGAGGTAACTGAGGGCGTTCCACCAGTACCCAAAGTCATCATACCACGAAACCAGTGAAAACCTGATGTCATATCATTGCTCTTACCCTGAGAGCCCTTGGACTTGCCCCTCACGTATATCTCAGGGATACCTGCTCTATCCCTCACACCTCCTGTAAAACGAACATTGTACTATCAGTATCCACATAAAATCTGATGTTCTGACAGCAGCAACACCCATTTTCACCTTCCAGCAAACAGTAACTCCCCCATATATGAGGTCAAAGGGCACCAGAATTATATTAAAACAAATACACAATTGCTTTAAATTCTTTTTTCCTTGTATTTTCAGAGAGTCGTTTTTGCTGCCCTATTTTGTCAGGCAGATTTCAGCGTCATTACAGACAACGACTTTCCAATAACAATGTGTAGACGGCATTCGACCGCCTCGGCAAAATCTGGCCAGAACCAATATGCAGTTTTATTTTTTGATGTCTGGTACACGAGGCCGAGACACGAGGAGCTTCCTGCGCTAGAGGTAGATAGGTGCAGGAGAGAGGTGTAGGATAGAAGTGTAGGATAGAGGTGTAGGATACAGATGAAGGATATAACACTTATGTCATAGCTGAAAGAAGAAGACTTTTGACTTTTATTTTTACTATATATATATATATATATATATATATATATATATATATATATATATATATATATTATATATATATATATATATATATATATATATATATATATATATATGCAAAACAACCACTCTGAAAGAATAGAAAATTCCAATTCGATTTCGTGACACTAACACATTACTTCAGAACTATAATCCAGTGATAGGTCAGAAGGCACCAGATTGGATATTACATCTATTCTTTAGAATGGTTGTTTTCTGATTTGATCATCGTTTTACT